TTTACAAAAACACAATTATATTTACAGTTATAGGATTATGAGATCTGTAGAGCTGCTAGTACTACTGACACAATGTTATGGATCATTTACAGTGTTGATTGTCTTTGTTTTGAAGCAGGACCAAAACGAGGATGAAAACAAAGCGTCATCTTTCCAGAGAAAGTGAGTTTGACAATTTTTTAATCTTTATTTACTTATTTATATTTTATTGAGTGTAACTGATTACACATGTACATTAATGTATTCTGTCTTCCCAGCTCTAGGCAGAGGATTTCATCTAGATCCATCCAGGAAAAGATGGAGAGGCTGGCTCAGGCAGCGCAGGTCAGCCTCTCAGCCCTCCATGTACTAAAGGGGAAATTATGTTCCTGTGTTCTGTAGCAAACATCAACTGTCACCAATGGTCTTCTCTTGGCTCTTCATCCACAGAAGTCCGAGCTGACGCGATTCCCAGATGTCACCCAGAGGACTCTGGTCCTGCTGGAAGAAGTGTCCAGGAAGAGAGAGATCTTTGAGAAGGAGCAGCAGGTGCAGAGCCCCTCCAGCCCCGGAGTTTCCAAACAGGTACAGTCATCATTCGCCGAAAAGATCTTTTCAGTATTTGATGTGTGCGTAGCGTTAACTAACAAATGATGTTGTAACTGTTGTTGATTTCAGGAAATTAGAGGCTTGACATCAGGAATGTCAGAGCGGATCAACCGCTGGCTCCACAAGAGCAGCAAAGCTGGGTCTTCGCACAGTCCTGCTGTAAGTGCAGTATATGTACGCCAGGGGGCAGTATTACTCTCTGAGCTGTAAGTCCTGGCTGAGCAGGACGTAGGTTGTTGTTTGTGTTGCCTACATTAAATTAAAGAGTTTGCCATTATGTAGGTAACTACGTAAAATGTACGACTGTCGTTAATCATGAAGAAAGTTCTGATCAATTAATTCTTTTTAAACACAGATTTCTTTTCTACTCTGGTAAACTCAGTAAAGTCATTTAGGCATTAAATGAATGGGAACGTTTAATTTAATTTCAAAAGTAGCTCAAAGAATTTGATCTTAAGAATTTAGAGTTGGGTGTTTAACTTAATTAAGCTGTTCAAAAAGCTTCATGCGACATACCCAACTTGCTGTTAGATTTAGCAGTAGATGTTTTTGGCTGCAGAAATCTTATCTTTGTTATATCTGAGCAAAAACAATATCTATCTGGGGAAATTCATATGCACACTTTAAAGCAGAGGGTCTCTCTCATTGTTATCTGTGGCGCCTACAGAAATTCTGGCATGACTGCCTTTGTGCTAATCTGTCCTAACATCACTTCTGTCAGAGTAGAGTGACCCGTTCCTCCTGCTTGGTGCCATTGGCTGTTTAGCAGTTATCTATTGAGCCTGAAGAAATGCTTAAGTCAGTCCAAATAAAGACCATTTAGGGTGTGTTTACAAAACTATTTGCCCCGTAAGAGGTCCCTGCTTCAGAAATATTTCAAAACTCCAGATTTAAAGAGTGTTTTTCTTTCTCTTCACTGTAAAATAAACTGTGATAATGATTCTGTTTCTGATTTGTAGGATTTGAGACATGTGGACATTTCTAGTAAGAGGAGCCTGTTTGAGAACAGCGGTGAAGACAGTGTCTCAAAATCCAGCCCTGGAAAAATCTGAAGTGAAGGAAGTTTATTTATAATGTCCAACAGGTAAGGATACAGCAACATAGTGCTGCTGAGTTAGTCTTACATGTCTGCCCACTGTGGAGGCAGGTTTACCAACTCCACAAATGAAGCAAAAAAAGAGGAAGCCGTACATGTTTCACTGAACTTTAGAGGCGCTCCTTCAATTATAAATTGCTCTTATTGTGCCTGTGTTTGCAGGATTGCAGGATTTTAAGATGGCGAAGGGAGAGGCGGAGATTTGGAAGATTAACGGATTTGATGACTGAGTGATTTTGCTGTGAAAGCACAAATGTACAACAGGCAGCAGGAAGAGAGAGAAATGTTGGGTTGTATCTTTAGATATCTTACACTTTTGCTTTGCTTCTTTAAAAAATAAGTATGCCTACTTTTAACATTAAAATACCCCAAAAAAACATGTCAGTGATGTTTTATTTGTTCACCTTAACGTTGTGTAATTTCTTTAAGCACTTTAAACAGGTGAAGGCTTTAAGGATTATATCTTTTACTGAATTACTCTGCTGGGATTGCTGGAGTTGTAATATGTGCGTCTTGTTTAATTTACCAATGTAATTTTTTTTGGTTTCATCTGGACTTGTGGACGAGATTCTGTCTTTCTAAGTAATAAAATGTTTTACTACCATAACTGTCTGTCACTGTTTCTGTTTAAATAGTCCTGGATGAATAAACGCACTTTACCTTATCTCACACCGGGATGCATATAGATAAGCGCTCCATGCCTGTGTTTCGTCTACAACAAGGTGCCATACAAGGAAACCAGAGTGTGTGTGTGTGTGTGTGTGTGTGTGCGAATCAGCTGTCTGTGATCTTTTTGGCTCTGCAGCCCACAGTCATGCTCACGGCGGCCTTTTTGGGAAATGGTGATAATGGAGAGTACATGCTATCTAGAAAGTTATTAATAACACAACAAGGGGTCCTAAAGCCTCATCCGCACAACACAGTCCGTCCTTCACCCTCTGACACTCACCCCACGCTCTGTCTTGTGCTGCAAATCCACTCTCTCCGGGTCTCCATCCCTTCATCTGATCCTCAGGTACGATTGACTAACTGTAACGTAACGTGTGCACATGATAGAAAGTGTTTTAACTGGAAAATATTGAAGCTTTTATTGATTTGAACAGAAAGTGAAAAATTCATGATTTTTTTCCTAAGTAATCAGATTACTGCCGCGCACCTGAACGCGCCCTATCATGTCAGACAACGAGGAAGTGGTGGAGGAGTATGAGGAGTAGGTTGGATTTTTGTTCTACTTAAAATACTTCTAAATGTATCCTGAGAGTACATCCACCGTTTGTCACTGACACCTGGTTTCTTTGCAGCAACTGTATGATCGTTTTAAACTGTCATGCATTTGTCTTTTTGATCATCACAGTAACGCGCCTATGTGATTCATTTTCACAGGGAGGTGGAAGGTAAGCCCTCTCATCATGACTCACACACAGCGCCGTCACTCTGAGGTTAAAACCCTGTTGTGCAGGCAAATGCTTTCTCTTGGTAAAGCTGCTGTACTGTAAACTCAGCACTATTTTCAGGATTTAAGAGGAATGTAAAGACATGTTGCTAATCGTGTGTAGTTTGAATGAAATGTCAAGATCGTCCATAAATCAAACGTAAATGTTCTGCCTGTTTGTCAACTCCTAATCAGGTGTAGGAGGAGGTTATTATATGTATGTGTGGGAGTTACAGAATTACTGTGTAAAACGTTTTCATGGTAAGTTTAATTATAATGCAACACAAAAGCACAAATTATATGTGAAGTCAGGAATTGCTAGTGGGAAAGGTTTGCCTTAAGGACTTCCTGCCAGAAAGTTTTCTTTTCTATTCTTTTTTGTTGCAGCTCGGTGTGGTTTAGGTAAAGATCACAATTTGGATTAAAAATGAGCGAACAAAATGCTTATATTCTGATTACTTATATTGTGATTACTCGTAAGTCAGTGTTTCATTAGTTCGTATCATTAATTGGTTTGACTTTGTGTGCTAGAAACAACCGTTTGTAGAGTTTGAACTTGTGATTATGTGAAAAGATTGTTCACATGTTTCTCTCTGCGGTTTCTCTGGCTGCGCGACACAGAAGAGGAGGCCGCTGAAGGTACTGACGGCTTAGGCGCCGATATTTATAAATGAGTGTGAAGGTCATCGATGAATGCTTCTGTCACGTTTCAGTAGCACACATCAAGGGTGATGTGGAGGAGTGGTCGACAGCAGCTATCCTGAGAGTCTCTGGGATAAATAACAAAGCTGTGACTGAGCTTATAAACACATTTAAAGTGATTGTGATTAATCTCACTTTGAAAGAGATTCTTATTTGCTAACTTACTTTGCTTGCTCAGCTATTCTTATTTATTTAACCTCCTTACTTTAATTACTTGACTTACTCTGTTTACTTACTTCACCTACTTCTCATCGCTTTGCTAACTACTTTTCTGCTTTGCTCATCAGAGGAGAAAGGGGTAGATGAGGAGGAG